CTAATACATATTCTACATTCTAGGATTAGGTTTTAGAAAATAATATCTCATTTTATTTTCTCACTGACATAAAAGGTCTTTCATAATATATTTCATGTTATATGTACATATATATATAAATACTTTCTATTATATATTACATATATATAGTCACAAAGACAGATACAGGTGCACGCACACACATACCATAGTACAAGGCCATAAATGGTGTTTTACAGATACTTTACAATTTTTTTCACACATGCTCTCTTTACACTCTGGGCTCAACCTACACGGATCAGAGAATTTTGCATATGATCTGAGGCAGATGTATCTGAACAATGGCTGGTTGTAGACTGAACAGGATATGATGGCATAATTAGTCTGGTCTTCTCAGTTCAAATGTAGATGAGCAGATAAACAAAATCCAGTCAAAGCAGGGCACTCCTTGACTTTATTTGCATTAAAGATACATTGAAACATTCAATAATTTTCAAGGATTTTTCCTAGGTTTTCTTAATTATCAAAATATATAGTCCAAAACAATGAAACACAAATTATGTAAAATTAACTGTGCTCGTCTAAGTGTTGAACAGTTGCTTTAGTTAAAGTTTGTTTCTTTTCTAACACTTGAATGGATAAGTTTATAATCTTGTCTATTTGCTTAATGTAGTATCAACTTTACTGTAAAATAGGAATATTACCAAACTTGACATACTCAATGTTGTTTAGAGTATTAAATAAGACTCTCTGTCTCTTACTCTCCTTCTCTTTCCTTTTGTCTTCTCTCCCTCAACTCTCCACCACTGCTCCTGAACTCAATAAAAGTAATTTTCTAGCCCTTCAATTTAATGACAGTAAGCAGTACAGTAGAAGACAATTATATTTGTTTGCAGATGGCTTGAACATGGAATAGATACTTTAGTGATGTGCAAGGATAAAGAACCACTGTCTAGGTAATAACTGCTGCCATAATTATACTAGAGAAACTGTTTATAATTCCATTGGTCAGATTATTTATTAAACTCTCATCCTTTCCATTTTGAACATATTAATGGCTGGTACCTTACTAAGAAATACTACTTATAATGCCCCAAAGCATTTATAATTTAAGTTAATTTCCTTTTATGGTCTGATAACAATCACCAAATTGAAGAAACAAGACTCTCACTTCAAATAAATGCATGCTTGTATTAAATCACAGACAAATGAAACTGTCTTTAAATAGTGATAGAATTGCTTTTATTTCTAACTTCATATTCAAGTTTATATTTGGTAAATAATGTATTACCAATAACACTTTCCTAGGTCTAGAACTATGACAGTTATTCATTCTAAAATATATATAATCTTCTTCAGAAATTGTATTTCTGTGCAGATTATTGACCTGTCAGCTGTAAGGGGCAAAGTGTTTTTAGTGAGACTATTTCAGGGACCTGAACAGAACATTTTTATTGCACTGAGACAACAGTTTATCCAGAGCTCAATGGAAAGACTGGTGGCCAGGTCTGTATCACTTGAATATTCTATTGAAGTGTAGCAAAGATGGTGGGGCATGTCAATAGATGAGATTGTCTTGGTCTTCCTCCTACCAAACACTACTGAATGATCTATTAAACACAGATGACCTCAGGCAACTGAAGAGATGTATAAGTAACTACAGTTGTTAAATATGGAAACTTCTGGAAAATTCTAAACATGGTCGCTTTCCTTACAGCTTTGACTTTTAGATCCTAGGAACCATTCATCCAAGTTTGAGTTGGAGGAAGTGAAGATGTGAACAGAGCTTGAAAAGATATATACAAACAATATAATCTTAAATTACTAAGGCAAGCTACAGGGTGAACTTACAGGAATTCTATGAGATAACATTAATATAAACTAGTAATTTAAATTACAATTATTTTTTTGTTAACCCGTGGTCTATGTAGAACCAGTGGTTTGTTATTACATTATCAGTTCTGCCCTGTTTTTATTCCACAGGAGACAGATTAGTAAAGAATAACACTGGATTATGATTCATCAAAATAGCATTCTTGTGTGGCTTTAGACATGCCATTCAAACTTTTGGGCATATCAGTGTCCTCATTTGTAAAATGAAAGCAGGTATATATTGCTTTTTTCATACAAATATTAAAATTTTTCTTTCTGTTCCACAGTGCTATGCTCCAATCTTTGCTTACTTTTAAGTGTTTTTGCATAAAAATTATAACACTACCTAACATGCACATTGTTCTTAGCAGTACTTATTAATTGCACTTACCATCTATCTGTAAGCTCAAAGTAATAATTACTGTGTTTCATTCATTGATGTATTATAAGCACTTTAGCATGATATTCTTCAAATAAATGCATGTAAAGTGATTAAAATAGTAACTGCCACTAAACATTTGCTGAACAGTCTGACTTGACAAAGGGTTATGACAAAATTATTTCGTTAATACTTGGAGTACCATATCACTTTGACAGTAGAAAAGTGTAGCACCATTTCAGAGAGAAATTGAAGGAGAATGAGGACCATACTCTAATTTTCAAGTATTTGAAGAGTGTCACATGTTGTTTTCAAAGAAAAATTATGAGCCAAGGTGATATGTACATAGAAATATTTTTAAAATTTGGAGTAGGAAGGCATTTCTAACAAATATTCTTGACAATGAAGTGAACTAATGCTCATTACTTGTCAATTATTATGTATCTAGTCAACAAAAGAATTAAGAAAATCTAACTAAAGTTTATAAATACATTATTGCATGAATTAAATGACTTGAAAAACTATGTGTTTTATTCAGAATAAATTTTAAAATGTTGAACTTTGATTTTGTAATATAAGAGCAATAAAAGTCATAGATGGAAATGGAAAACTGGTAAATTCCTTTTATTGAGGTAAATAATGCTAGTATAATTTCTTCCCATCTAATGCTAGCAACAGCAAAAGGTAGGAGCTGCCAAATTATCTATTTCCTATCAGAAAAAACAGGACTGTTTAATGCCAGCTTCTTTCCTGTTATTTTTATCCCAGTGGTAACACTTCTCTGTGGAATATAAGAATATTGTAAGTAGGCATGTTCTTGGTTGTATGAAACTAACCACTATATCACTCCTACTAAATAGAGATGAATTTAGACAAAATATGCAACATCAATGAAAAAGAAATCTCACCCAGTATCATTTTTTGAAAGATGTGAGGCCTCATTCCAAAATAGCCCCATCAATCTACTGCCATTTGATTAAACAGAAAAGAATTAGGTACATAAAGTGACTGTTAGAAAATGTATCTAGGCAAGAACTATAACTGTGGCAGTTGCACATTTTGGAAGTAAAGGAAGCATAATTTATTTAACAGTCAGCAAAAGTTAATCGCAAGTGGCATGGCTTTCTATAGTGGACATAATATTCAGAAAGGAGGTGGGTTTTGAGATTATGTAATGATATGTAATGATAACTTTGTAAAGATGTGGAATGAAAGTTTAGATGCCATTGATAAAACTCTAATGTTACCATCACAGGCGTAAACTTCATGCACGCATTCAAAACCACAGTAGCCTCATTAATTGTAATGCTTAATTTTATGCATCTATTTGACTGGGCCATAGGTTTTCAGATTATTTGGCCAAATAGTATGCTTATGTATGTCGGAGTATTTTTGAATGATACCATTTGAATCATAGACTTGGTAAAGCAGAATGCCTTCACCAGTGTGGATGGGTCTCACCCAGGCCTGAAGACCAGAATAAAACAAAAAAGGCTGAGTGAGAGGAAAAGCTTTTACCTGACTAAATAAGGTGAAGCATCGGTCTTTTCCAGCTTTCAGACTTTGACTGAACATTGGCTCTCCTGGGGCTTTAAACTTAAGACTGAACCTTAACAAGTTCAGTTCTCATGTTTCTGTGGGCTGTACTCAGTTTGGAGTCAAACATGAATGCTCCTAGTTTTCTATTTTTTCAAATGCAGATCCTGTGATGACTTCACAGTCTCCTTACTTATATGAATTGCTTCTTTAAAATAAAAGCAGTACATGCATATATACATACACAGCTACTTCACATTACATACATGTATGCATTAACTTTTTAAAAATTCATCAAGTTTATTGGTATATTTTAGGTATACAATATGAAGACATTCATCATTGAGAATTTGTACCTTTACATAACGCATCTTGGTTCTTATTTGGTCCCCATTCCCCTGCTCTCCCTTCAACCCCTCCACCCCTCCTTATTTACATTCCTTTTCCCATATTTTTTCTTAACTTTCCCTTACCCCTTTCACTTTCCCTTCCCCTTCCCCTTTGGACTTTTTCTTCCTTTTTCACATAATCTGTTATACATACATTGAGGTTATACTCTTAAGTGAAATAAACAGGACACATATGCATTAACTTTTGATTGTTTTGGGGGAACTTGTAGAATATACTTATTCAGCAACATCAGGAGCGGTGACTTGAGTTGTGCTAATCAGGTGTCTTTTCTGCATAACTAAACCAAATCCTTATAGAAGCTAAAGGGTTAGAATTTTGTCTGGTAACAATCTTGATTAGAAAATAAATTAATGATAGTTTAAAATATAAAATATTGAGCTAATTTCAAATGCTTTAAACACTAGTTCTGAATCAATTTTTCATTTCCAACTGAAAATAGTATGATTCTATATTATAAACCAAGCATACACAGTTATTTTCAAAGTCTATTTTAAAAACAAAAGCAGCAAGGTTGATATGTATAGCTTTCTCAAAATAATAACCCAAGCCATGAGAATTCATCGCATTCCCTTATAGTGATTTTCTTGAGAATTTAAGGACTCAGAATCTTCACATGTTAATTTCTGTTGCCATTAATCAGCATACAGCATATCTACTTATTTTCCATAACTTTTCCAAGCACTGGCATTTTATGATATTTAAGATTTCTTCTGGAACACATATTAAAATTCTAAAATATCTGTCCTTGTACACCATGATATATACTAGAATGATATGAAATTTTTGGCATTAATTATGTATAAATTTTCTCATTGTCACTCACCTGCCCAGAAGCAGAAATTCGCCTGCAAGTCCCAGGCGTCTCATAGCCATCAGCAGACCTCGCACTGTCATGCCCTCACAGAAGCAGGCCACCACGCGTGCCTTGGGCAAGTGACTTCTGAGCTTTTTCAGGAGCTTGTCGAAGCTCTGCTCCCCTGCATTGCTGTAGATTTTGTAAGAGTGGGCAATGCAGATTCCTTCCTTGGCTGACATATCTTTGAAAGCTTCCATCCCACTTTCTCCATAATTGCCTGTGTAAAACACAGATAAGCAAAGGCATAGTAAAGTGAGAGAGTTGCATTTTTTGAACAATCAGAAGGCAAAAGCATTAGAACCATGAAGATCATTTGATGATTTTACACTTGGAACTCAAAAAGTTGAATTTGAATTTTTGCTGTCATTGTGGTTTATATCTCAATGTCCTCCTTTAAAGCCTAATGTACTCATAGGTGGAGCCTTAGTGAGGTAAATGGATCATGTGGGGGCTTGTTATTCATCAGTGGATTAGTCCTCTGATGAGTTTATATCTAAGTGTAAGCTTCCACAAACTGAGCTAAAATAAACTTTTCCTTTTTTAAATTGTGGGTGTTGGGTATTTTGTTTCAGCAGTGACATAAGTAACTAAAATCGCTCTTTCACTGACTTGTTCATTTGGGGAAAATTATAGTTGAACTACAGTCTACATATATGCATAGATCTTTTATATTTTTATATAAAATATATATGCTCAATTTTTTGCATACAGTATTTGTCTTTGTGTATGGCTTGTTTCACTTAATATGATGATCTCCAATCCCATCCCTGTTGTCACAAAGTACAGTATTCCATTACTTTTTATGGCTGAGCAGTATTACACTGTGTGCATAGATCACATGTCCTTTGCCCACTCATCAGAGTACAGGCACTTAGGCTATCCCCATTTCTTATTTATTTTACATAGTACTACAGTGAATATGGGTAAGCAGATTTGATTTCTATTAGATATGAACTCATGTTCTAAGAATGGGATGATAAAACATTTATCTACAGTTCTCCTTTCTATCTGATTTCCTTTTGCTTCTCCTTATATGATAAATTCATCTCATTGCCTTGGTATGGATATATTTTATTTCTCAATTATTCAGGTGCTGAGAGCTTGGTAGCAAATATGAAAATACTGAGGTGGTGAAAACTTTAAGAAGTGGGGTCCAGTGGAAGGTGAGTAGAGCATGGAATCTACCTACACTTGCAGAAGTTGATTAATGTTATCTCCTGGGAATGGGTAAGGTCTTGTGGGATGGATTAGTTCCAGTTGGTTCTTCTAAAAGCACAATGTAGGCTCCTACCCAGTCTCTTGCTTCTTTGCTTACACATGTGCTCTCTCTGAAGCTGTTTCCCATTCACATTTCCACCATGTTACAAAACAGCCAGACAGCAGTACCATGCTGTTTGACTTTTCAAGCCACCAGAATTATAAACCAAATGCAACTCTTTTCTTTATACATTATCCAGACCTCGTGTTTTGTTACAGCAATACAAAACTGGACTAGGATAGCCACTGATTAAGATTTTTGTGTTTAAATACAGTATATATGTGTGATGTTAGTATGTGTTATAGCATAGATACCATTGAAAAATACTTTATAAAGTATAATATATATATTACATAGTAATAATCATGAGAATTTGTGCTTTGTTCAACTGAAAAACCCAGATTCTTGACTGAGATTCAGTCTTGTCATAAATAAACGTGTCAGCTTATGAAAAATATTTAAAGTTAATTCTCTATAACCATAGGGAAGTTAGCGAATTTGATGAATAACTACAAAATCCTTTGAAAAATTTGGGAGTTAAGAACTGATGTTCATTTTTTTAAATGAGTAAGAAATGGAAATAAATATTGGCAATTAATTGTATGCAGGAAGCATATCAGCACCTTTATTATGTCCTCTTTTAACTCTCATAATAATATTTTGTGGTAGATGTTATATTCTTCATTCCAGAGATAGAACAGATGGAGACCATTAGGTGTACATTTCCTAGAGCAAATATATATGGCTGAACTCCTGTCACAGATCTGATACTGCAGGTTCTGTTCCCTTCACTTTGCCATGACTGATTTTCATAAGTCTTAGAAGTCTAATATATCTGCATTTCTTTTCCCATTTAAAAATCAATTTCAGATTTTTTGAGCATTTTAAGGCTCTGTAAATAAAACTAGCTCATTTTCTGAGTTTTTAAAAGTTTGTGCAAAAATATTATTTTGAAGAATTCAGTAGTCTAGATAAATAGATAAAGATAGATGGAACTATAGATGATATAAACATAAATATAATATAAAAGGATGCTACTAGCCTAAAAATTAACTAGACATAAAAACTGGAATTTAAAATAGGAGTAAATTTCAAATGAATAAGAAGTATAAGGCAATTGATTGCACAGGTTTCAAAGTGCTATATTAGAGATAATTGAGAATGCAAATTTTCAAAATAGACCTTAACAACCCCATGGATTTCAGTGATGTCTATTCTAATGTCCCCCTTTTCATCTCTAATTCTATTGATTTGGAATTTTTCTTTCTTTTGTTTGGCTAAGTGTTTGTCAATTTTGTTTCTTCTTTTCAAAGAATCAACTCTTGTGTATTGTTCTTGTCATCTCTATCTCATTAATTTCAGCTCTGACCATCATTTCTTTCCTTCTGTTGGGTTTGAATTCATTTTGCTGCTGTTTTTCTAGAACCTTGAGATGTATCATTAAGTTATTTATTTGAGATCTGGTTTTTTAGTTTAGGCACTCCCAGCTATAAATTTAGAATTGCCTTTGTTCTAGCACAGAAATTCTGCTACTTTGTATTTCCATTTTTGTTTGATTCTAGGGATTTTTAAATTTCCTCTTGGTCTCTTCAGTGAGTTACTCATTGTTTCAGTAGTTACTGATTGTTTCAAAGTGAATTGTTTGTGCAGCTTGAGCTGTTCCTGAGGAGCCTGCCACAGCAGGCCAGGAGACTGGTGTGAAGTGACCTGAGCTCCACCCCATGGTCAACCCATGTGGGGATCAAGACTTAGTGCATTAGAGAGTAGAAAGGCCATCATTCTCAGCTCAGGAAGATGGTTCAGTGTTGAGCAGCAGAGAAAGAGCCTTTTTCAAGCTTGTTAAGAAATGAATCCCACTAAAAGAGCAAAGCGAATCATTCTAATAAAGAGTCAGCGATGAAAATGGCTGGTGAGTTGCTGACATCAGCACCTCCTGCTGCAACCTGGACTCTCTCACAACAGTGAAGAGTTCAAACCTGAAGGTCAGGGAGCTCACTTCCAGCCTTGCAGCCAGAAGCAAGCCTGAATTTCAGTAGACTATAGCCAGCTCACATAGCTCAACCAACACAGTTCTGTATGCTGACCATGTTGTCCACAGGTGACAGCAGAGACAGGCCTTCAAGGGAACATTTTTACTTCTTTTCTTTTTTCCCTTCTTCTTCCTCTTCTTTCCCCTCTTCCCCATCTTCTTCCTCTTCTCTTTCTTCTTCTTCTTTCTTCTTCCTCCTCTTTCCTCCTCTTTTTTTCTTATTCTTCATTTCTCACATTTCTTGTTCCTGCTTTTGTTTTGTGTTTTCTTGATTTTTGTATTTTTCTCAAGTCCATATTTATGAGTGTGAACATGGTTTCTAGTTTCCCTGTCACTGTTAGTTTATTCTATTCTGGTTTTGTTGCTCCCTTCTCTCTTCCTTCTGCCCTCACCAGGTTCCCAAAGTTTTCATGATCTACCTACATTCTCCTGCCTTACTGCTAACTGTTCTCTCTCCTTCTATTCCTCTATCCACCCCCCAACTCCTTCTAAGTCTTCTCCCCAGAGGGAAAATTCACTATTATGAAGAGACAGGATTGTATTTAGTAACCAGGAAAAAAAATAGATTTACTAAAAATAGCAAGGGGCCATGAGAAAACAATCCAGTAGCAGCTAAATGATGTGAAGGAGAATAACATATAATTTATTAGAGTCAATGAAAACACAGGTGATAGAGTAAACATTAAAAATTATTCACAGAAGTAATGGTAGAAAACTTCACAAGCAAGGAAAAGAATTTAGTACACAGATAAGTGAGACATATATAAACTCCAACTGGTGTCAATAAAAAAAATCTGCACCTATGCATATAGTAGTCAAGATTTCAGAAACACAACAAAGGAACAAAATATTAAAAGCAATTAGAGGAAAGAAACAAATTACATATAAAGGAAAGCCCATTAGAATCATAGCAGACTTCTCAACATAAACCCTCAAGTCAAGAAGAATCTGGAGTGAAGTATTTTAAGCCCTAAAAAAAAAATCTCCATCTCAGATTAATGTATCCTGCAAAGCTGTCTTTCAAAATCAGTGGAGTATTATGATACTTTCATGACAAAGAACACACGGGAAACTACATGAATACCAAACCAGAACTCAAAAAAATTCTGAATATCCTAGAAAAAGACAAGGAGGATTACAGCTCCATGAACCCCAGTAGAATGAAGCCATCAGGAAGGGAAAGAAAGTAAATGGAAAGGGAGGAAAAAAGATCCAACAACAGGAAAATACCTTGAAAACAATAAATCAACACACAGCAGTTATACCATCAATGTAATTGGTTTCAGTTCACCAATCAAAAGAAATAGACTGACAGAATTGATCAAGAAGCAAGATCCAATAATACGTTGCATATAAGAAATGCATTTAATGGCTGGGTGTGGTGGCTCATGCCTGTAATACCAGCACTCACTCGGGAGGCTGAGGCAGAAGGATTGCTATGAGTTCGAGACCAGCCTGGACTACATAATGAGTTCCAGGTCAGTCTCAACTACATAGTGAGACCCTGTCTCAAAAAGAACAAATGCATTTAATTGAAAAATTTTCATAGACTGAAAATTAAAGGTTGTAAAACAATATTCCATGCAACAGGAACCTGGAAGAAAGCAGGGGTACCTATCCTATTTTTAGACAAAGTGGATTTCAGACCAAAAGTAATTGAGAGGCAAACATCACTACATCTTTGTAAAGTGAATAATTAAAGAGGAAGTGATGACAATCAAACATATAAGCACCAAATACTAGTGCACTCAGCTGTGTAAAAAAAATATTAACAGACATGAAGAATCAAATACACATTAATACATTAGTGGTGGGGGACCACAATACCCCACTGTCACAATTAGACAAATCAAAGGTCCAGGGATGTAGCTCAGTGGTGCCTCCACCTGCCTCAAAAGCACAAGGTCCTGAGTTTGTTTTCTGTACTATA